CCAATACATGTAAGGAATTTCTTCCAGCACTGAGAGAAGGAGGAACACTAGATAACAGGCTTCAAACCCAACATCCCACCAGCCTGCAACTTCCTGCTGGTTTCCCCACTGACTTTCTGGAAAACTAGGAGAGAAGATTGCAAATAATTCACATAATTGAAGGCCCTTGTCAAGTGATTGCAAATGCAAGCACCCGAAATGAGGTCATTTGACTGAGTCTGAAAGTGCTTTATGGGACATAAAAACACTTGCTACAAGGTTGTTGAGCTTGTGAATAGTTAAATGATTTATTGATAAATAGAAGACTATCTGTAGTTCATGAAAATATAATAATTATAATACTTATAATTCTGAATTGCTGATCTGACCTGTTTCATACATTTTTAAATATTTGATGTGCCATTTGGGTGAAAACCAGAAGTGAAGTGAAAACAATGATTATTGATATGCAGAAGTTAGAAACAGATGCATTGTACAAATATAGCTCTTGCATTTTAAAATTACCAAAACCATGTCCTTTGGAAGATTCACATATTTGTTTCAAAAGTGTCTCCAGTTATCTACAATTTGCATTGGTATGTAGACATATTGCATTTCACTGCTGGCATCCTCAATGAAATGGCTATCCCTGCACACTCATGCATACCAGTTGAGAACTGCTTTTCATGAGCTTAGAAAAGGACCCAGCTATTTTAAGAATTTGAAGAAGGGGGCTCCTTTTAGATTCTCACCCTTTTCAAAGCATCATTTTCAACAGATGTTGCCCTAGATGTTTCTGTTGTGATTATTACAGTTATTATGCAGTATGTTTCATCTTTCTGTCCATGGTGTAGTCAGAATGACTAACAACCTAAACTAAATTTCAAGTAATTGAAAATCAATCCATCAATTAAAAAAATAAAGTTATTACTAACAGAGGGTTGATTAAGTGCCTCATTCCCTAATGGTATAATGATGTGGACGATATTCAAATCCCCCCCAAAATGCTTTATTGATTCATATTAGCTAACCTGAAAAAACAAAATATTAACACTAATCTACTGACAGTTACTTCATGTAACTATTAGCAATGCCAGGTACTTGCCCAGAACATTACTTCTGTTGAGTTCCTGTATCTGTTCATTTCTATATTTAGCGCCCAATCTTATTAAATATCAACACTTGGACCAAAATTGCTAGCTAAGTGGTAGACCATTGCATTAGACTTTAAAAGTACATAATTCATCAAATTGAATGATACTGACATTTCCAACTGTACACTGAAATTTATAAGTAATACCAAAACCAACAGTAAATCCTCATTAGAACAAGCAAGAATCATAATCTTGCCAATATTATGTACTTAAAGGTTCCAAGAATTTCACTGAGTAATTTAGGTATATGGATAATAGGTTCAAAAGTCGCTCAACTTTGGCTAGATCATAAATAAAAGGGCTGAAGTTTTCTTGAGTGTGTAGAAAAATCCTAGGATGAAATTGACTTAAGCTTTAGCTGCCAAGAATTGTCCACTATTTTTTTCCCGTACACAAATGAGTTTGAGAATTACAGATTTTTTTAAATGCTTGGCTTTAACAAAGGTAAAGGGGGTATGATAGCATTTTTCAAACACTTGGAAAAATGTCACAAAGAAAGAGGTCAAGAGCTGTTCTACTTTGGAGAGAACAGAACATGAAATAATGGATTTAAATTACAGGAAGAGAGATACCAACTTAATGTCAAAAGGAATGGAACGTTCCCCTAATAAAAACTACCGTTTACGAATGAATATTAGAAATGGTGGGGAAGAAATTAGGAGAAAAATAAAAGCATTATTAAATCAGTTAAATGTATTAACTGATTATGCTTGTTTGAATTGGAAAGCACATTTATGTTCATGGGATTTCCCACTTAGCAACTGCTTCACTTAGTAGCTGTTTCTGGTCCCAACTGTGATTGCTAAACAAGCACTATTTTTTAATTAGTTTTCCATAAAGTTGCTGGGAAAAACATCCCATTATTATACAACTGATACGAAAAACTTATTAAAAATAACTGAAAGGAGACTTTTCAGTACTGTCAAAAATATTAAATATATAGGCTTTCATATTAGATAGTAATACATGATGTGTTCACAAGGTCTTATTTTTAGGTATGACTTCTCATAGCTGTGGGGTCCTTGGTGCTCTGTGGGGTCCTTGGTTATTATTGATGAAATTATGTGGGGGGCCATTTGTTGGAAGATGTTTTGTAGACGATCTGTTTCTTTTTTCTGGTGTTCAAGGTTGCTACAGTGTTTGTGCTCATCTATATTATGTTCTTACATAGCTTCTCTTATGGAAGGTTGGATTGTTGCTTTGGTAATGGAGCACTTGGTTGGTGAGGGTAGTTTTACAATAAATTTGCTGTCGTTGGCAAATTTGCTGGTGTGGATATTCAGGAAGAGTAGTGTGTTGTTTTCTTCCTCCCTAGTATATTTTACTCCTTTGAAGATATTGTTGATAGTTTTGTGTGGGTTCGCCAGCTGGTCCTTTTTTTATTATGACAAAGGTCCATAGTTTGGATTACATGCAAGGGAGTGCTAAAGATTCCAGGCATTGTGTTACGGTCTCTACTATTAATCCTCAGTTCAACCGTGAACTACAAATATTCTTTTCTACCGATACCTTTTTATATATATTGAGGAATTTGAACTTTGCAGTTAAATACAGATTGATCAGAATAAATTGTTGCAAATGGTCATTGAAAAAAAAAAAGAAAATATATTTTCGAAGAAAATATGATTAAAAGAAATATCAAAACAGAAAATGTGCAAGAAAGTATCAAACTGAAAATGTGTGTATAAACAAGACAGAGAAGAGTTATAAATTGCACAGTTTTAGATGAAATAGCAAGCACAAAAGATTAATTTGCTCATTACTAAGGATGAAAGGAATGGTTATTTTTAGGCTATCCCTAAGAAAAAAATGTAAGGAAACAAAATCTATTAGCAAATTTAACTTAGCTCTCAGAATGCTGTGGTCTGAATGCCTACTCTTTCCAATGTCAAAAGATATGAAACAAAATTAATCCATTAATGAAGTACTCACAAATTATCTGATTATATCTACAGTTGGATGTTTAGCCAATCAGGCATTTCGATGAGGTACAAATGAATATCATAACATGGACATTTATTTATAATCAGATGCATAATGGAAATATACAGACATCAAGATCTTGCCTCATCTCCTACAAATATATAAAAATGCACCTGATAGAAAACTGTGTTCCACAATGCTTAGCTCTCTAAACATGTATAGTAAGACCATGAGTCAGTTCATATAAGTGGGTGAAAATAGTAAAATGTTATTTGAGTTCAGGCTGAAAAAAAGAATCAAATGATCTGTAAGAAGAAAGCAAATATTACATTTACATAAACCATTATGTGAAGCTTCTAAAAACCCAATTTTCACTTTATTTTATTGTGTGTGGGGGGGTGTTTGTCAGTGAGAGATTATTGTATAAAATACCCCCCCTCCAAAAAAAACCCCAACAACCCAATTCTGGATTTACCATAAGAAAAACATTAAAACAGTGTGGCCTCTCTTTTCAGTGGAGCTTGTTATTTTTCCAAAGTACTAGGGTTTTTAAGGCATCTGAGAAGTGAGTTTATAATCCATACAAAGCATTTCTGTTCAGCTCACTAGATTAAAGCAGATTCTGTTTTGGTTAAAACAGAAACCAAATGAATATTTTGCTGGATTATACTGCTGTACAGTATTTGCACATTGGAAAATTATGCAATTATTCCAAAACTGTGTCATTCTTTTTGTGAATTACAGTATATTTCCTATTCTTTTCTCAAGCCAATTTTATCATCAAGGTGCACTAACAACTGAAATACGCTTATTCACTTATTTGGAATTAAACACTATTGGACTTATTGGCATTCATTTATGAATATTCAATATCTTGTGACCATTTATTGCATTAAATGTTGATTGCATTAAAAAAAACTTGTTAGCTACAAAACAAGCAGTCCTTCATTAATAATGGTCATTGGGAGTGGAATTTCCTTTGCAAGTGATGTCAGAAAGTGCACTATCACATTGAAGCATCACTTAGTGATGGAAATCCTGGCATTCCCCAGCTGGTTATAAAGGAAGTCCTTAATGGCTCTCAAGCAATCTGGAAGGCAGGTAGATGTCTGCGGCTAGGCGGAGAGGTGCACAAGGTGGCCAGTGAGATGCAGCACAGGCATGGCGAGGATTGCTGCAGGTTAGGGTAAATATGAACAACTTACTGGAACAATCTGTAAGCTTTCCTTCTAGCTTCCCCATTGACTTTGCATTTGGTAAACCAATGGGAAAGGTTGCAACTAAAGTAAACATGACTGTGAGACACTATAGCTGGCATAAGCATAAGCATACGCTGGATACCAAATGCTCAGATCATAATCATGTGATTCTGGGGATGCTGGGATGGCCAAAACTTCGAGAACTGATCTTATATGCTCCTTGTTCAGCACCATCAAACCCTTGAAGAGTTGCTGAATGAGTGGTCATTAAACAAGGACTATTTATAGTTCTTAGAATAAAAGGTACTCACCATTTAATTTGGGGCTTGGTGTTCCCAAAGCAGGTCTAGGATCTTTTACCAATATTTTGGAACCAGCTGTTGATAAAAGTAAGAACAAATAGATTGCTTAAATTCAGGGCACTCATTCACAATAACATTAAGCCATTGTGATATGGAACCTTTTAACATTTATTAAATACAATATTGGCTAAGATATTCAAAAGACAAAAATCAGTGCAGCTAATGCCACAAAGATATTTTGAAGTTTCATTGTACTGCATATAAAATAATTCAAATTAACAGGATGTACTATAATAATGACCCTACAGAAATGATAACACAATTTTTATGATCATTATGAACTATAATTACATTAGTAGAGTATAAAATAAAAAATTGATTTTTAAAGTGCTACATCTACATTTCCCTTTCTAAATATTTCAATTCTTTTGCAGTTTTCTGTGTATTACTCTTGTTCCCTTTGGGATCTGTTGGTATATTTTAGACTCCTCAGTGTTTCATTTGGCAGAGATACTTTGAACCTGAAGCATTAACTACTTTTAATAAGGTATGTTTTTATTTGTAAATCACCAGAATCATTCAGGTAAGATGGGCAGTGTAGAAATGTGCTAAATAAATAAAAATGAATTATACAACTGTTAATTTAACAAGGCAGACCAGCCAGAAAACAGCACCAAAGGACCTAATTTGACTGTCCAGTAAGGCTACATTAATAGATTTTTTGCAAGTTTGAAAGAACATTTCCTCACCTTTCTGCTTTACAGGATTCAAAAACTGTGGAGGTTACATTCTGAACTGCTCGTCTTACCCACATTTCTGCTGTGGGCTAAGTCACCTTTTATCTGTCCATTCCTTTGGTTGCAGGAATGGATTCCCAAATACCATCACAACAACCCTAAAGTGTTCTTCAGATGATTTGCATTTGCTAAAATGTGTGAAGCCAAACTGAAGGCACATAAGTCTGAATGCACATTAAGTCTACCTGTAGTGGAAGTAGAATCAATCCTATGAACTCCTATGATCAATCCTATGTGCGGAATTCTAGGCTGCTTTTATGATTATAGTCTATAACTGTCTGGTTTGGTTCTGCAACCCAACAGGGCAGACACAGACTTCAGAGGATAATTAGGACTGCAGAAAAAACAATTATTACCAACCTGCCTTCAATTGAGGACCTGTATACTGCATAAGTCAAAAAGAGGGCTGTGAAAATATTTACAGACCCCTCACATCCCAGACATAAACTGTTTCAACTCCTTCCCTCAAAACGACACTATAGAGCACTGTACACTAGAACAACTAGACACAAGAACAGTTTTTCCCTGAAAGCCATCACTCTGCTAAACAAATAATTCCCTCAACACTGTTCAACTATTACAAAGACTGCACACTATTACTGTTAATCTTTTCATCGCTCATCATCCCCCCCCACTTGTGACTGTATGACTGTAACTTTGTTGCTTGTATACTTACAATTTTCATTGACTGTTTTCTAGTTTCCTTGATTGCTTATTGTACCCTATGACTATCATTAAGTGTCGTACCTTATGATTCTCAACTCTTGAGGAAGGTATCTTTTCTTTTATGTATACTGAGAGTATTTACACCAAGACAAATTCCTTGTGTGTCCAATCACACTTGGCCAATGAAGTATTCTATTCTATTCTATTCTATTCTATTCTATTCTATTCTATTCTA